ACAGTTGGTTCTCGTTATATGATCTGGCTACAGATAAAGTAGCAGGCCACACTACAGACTAGCTCTTTGTGCCACAGTACAAGGAGGCGCAATGTCTACTGGCCGCCAAGCCTTTCGGTTTAACCCCTTCGAAACCTCACGTTCATCGAAGTGATACTGAATGTTCAGCTTGTACCTGACAGGAAACACACAAATCTCACCTGAATAATGCTGCTATTTACTGTGACAATCATACTAAAATACATATAATACAGAGGTGCTGAAAGTCAAAACAGGTGGCGCCCAAACTATGTAACCACGGTGTTTAACTGGTTAATTGTACTGTGAAAATCCGCAATAAAGGTGGTTTCGCAGAATAACGTAAATCATGTCAACCCATGAACAGTCATTCAAGAATACAATTTCAAGACTGCGTACTGTCGCTGTTACGCAACGCTTCGCTGAACGACGGCCCACCCCCAAACCCTCTGCCGTTTAAGTGACCAAGCATGTGTCCGCAGTCACCAAGCCCGGTCACTGGGAGGCCAGTTACACTGCCAACACATAACGAGAAAACGAGGACAATCGTAAAATTCTTTTTTGTTTGTGACAAGTCATAAAAGTCTTTCAAATGGGCTTCCTTTAGGGTGCATCCTACAGCATCCGGTATCTAAGAAAACACTTCCGTGAGCCACGTCATGTTTGCTTATTCGCGTGTGTACACGTGTGTAACGCTCAACTGCTGTGCTTATTAATACAACAATTTGAACATCAAAATATACGAAACTTGTTTTAAGATGGCCTGCTGTTTCACAGACGTGAAACTTTCGCACTTTACGCGACGAACACAGGAATTGTTGAGGTCATCCATCTCCCGCTACGGTAACACCGTGCACTCCGACAGAAACGATTAGGAACTATGTTTTTTTTTATTGCTAGTGGGGTGGAACTAAGTCCCTTGTACTGCGGCCACTTCTGGCCTATTGTACCAGTCCCAGATGATAGGTGAGGGTGATTGTGGAGCAATTGGTGGAATGAAGATTGGCAGAGGAAACCGAAGTACTCGGAGAAAACCTGCCCCAGCGCCACTTTGTCCACCACAAATCCCACTTGACCAGACCAGGGATCGAACTCGGGCCGCCGCGGTGGGAAGCCAGCGACTAACCGTTTGAGCTATGGCGCGGCCCAACTACACAGTTACTACACACACTGATGATGGTGGCCGTAGATTCCTTTGGGACACCAGACTACACCTCACATCCCAGAAGCCACTGCCGTGAGATCCCAGCCCTCATAAGAACGGTGTTCGAGAACAGTGCTGGGCAGAAACTTGAGGTCACAGGTGAAATATAAAGTTGTCCCTGTACTGAATTTATTAAGCGCCGAGTCCTGAAGACGAATGAGGACGAGTACTAATCATGAAGCTCCACAACCTATACATTTGCCTGTTATTTTGCATGGTTACGAAACTTGGCCTCTTGCATTACGAGAAGACGGGCGGAAGGTGTATGAAATCAGAGGGCCCTGGAAAATATTTGCACCTAAGAGGGTAGGGGTAACAGGAGGCTTAAGAAATTTGTAGTGTTGCGAAGATACACCACTATAAATTACACAACAGAAATTTACATTCCATGAAAAATCTTCATTATTCTGTCACATCCAGCAAGCTTCTTACAGTCAAATTTAAGGGGTTACAGGTTACATCATTTTTCTGCGTGTCTTCCACATGTATTGTGCTCTTCGTTTTCGACTTCCACAATCAATACACGAATATAAAGTTCACTGTAACCCACACATATCGACCCGTCCACTAATAATATTTCGTCAAAGCGGTGACTACGCAGATGTGACGCAGTGCAGCCCGTTTCTCCAAAACATCGATGAACGTCCACCAATGGTTCGCCCTCCCTGCACTAGAAGCCAGCCTATCGCTGTGGGACCTACTTCTAAATTTGTGAGATCGATAATTGGCGCCACTTAATGAAGTATTGAAATCATGGGTGGCAACAGAGCTTCGGAAAATATGACACTTTTAGTGAGGCTATTTGTTTCTAGCGGGCAAAACAACATGGCGGCAGCGCGAAATTAAAGTTTCCGTCCGATAAACACCACTGAACCATGTGAAATTCTGCAAATTATAAACATACCAATTTCGTATTAGATAGTTATATATATACGTGTATAACATAACCACATTCTCACCCTAATCACTTCGACCATGGAAATGGAGGCAGTATGCTCCTCGGAAACTTGGTTACCCACCTCGAACACTGCACGGTGTCAAAATCCGGAAGTTCACATGAATATGCCATCTTACTTATTGATGTAATGTATTACAATCTTATTTATATAATAATTTGTCAACAGCCTGCTCAAACAGTATCCCGAAAGACTAATTTATGCATTTTACGAATATGAGCGACGAGATATTCTGTTCTATGTTGTTGATGTGGGGCACGCGGTAGCGTAGTTGGTTGAGGCACTATGCTACAAGCCAGAAGGGCGCGGGTTCAAGTCCCAATGAGTTGGATTTTTTCCATTTACCTAATCCTTCCAGCCGCACTATGGCCCTGGGGTCGACTCAGCCTCTAACAGAAATGAGTACCAGGAATATTCCTGGGGTGTAAAAGGCGGCCATCATGTGAGGCTCACAATCTTATCGCCATCTGTGAGCCGATTTTCTAGAAAATGTGGAAGCCTCGATGTCTCACAACCCTATGCGCCTTCAAGGCCTATTGCAGGGATAGCTTTACCTTTCTTTATGCTAATGATGATAATTCTACTGGGAGATAACATGTACAGTAACGGGGAAAACAAACAAGCTCTAATTGACGCTAGCAGATACGCTGATCTAGAAGTAAACGCACAGAAACAACGTACATGCAGCTCTCTCGGCAGGAGAACGAGGGGCAAAATCGTAGCATAGAGATAACCAACAGATGATTCGAAAATGTGGCACAGTTCAAATGTTTGAGAACAACAGTAACAAATCAAAATTTGAATCATCAGGAAATTTGGGGGCATATTATTCTCGGGTAATGCTACCATTCAATTCAGAACTTTTTGTCTCAAATTGCTGTTGAAAATTAAAACAGACAAGACTATATAATTTTGTCCGTGGTTCTACATGGGGTTTCTGGCATTAAGGGAGGAACGTAGACTGAGGTTCTTTGAGAACAGGGTGTTGAGGAGAATATTTGGACGGAAGAGAGATGAAGTGACAGGAGGTTGGGAAAAACTGCATAATGAGGTGCTAAAAACTTGTATTCTTCGCCAAGCTTAATTATAATGATCAAGTCAAGGACGATGAGATGGGAGGGGCATGTAGCACGCACAGGAGCGAAGATGGATATGTACCAGGTTTTGATTGGAAAGCCAAAAGGGAAGACACCACTACTAAGACCTAGGTGTAAGGTAAAGTTTTCCCTGTGCTTATTTAAGCACTACGCCATGAAGACGTATGGGGAGTGGACGTATAGACCCACGTTTTCTTGACTTCGGCACTAGTTTGAGGTGAATGGTGAGCTTCACGCCCGGCCGCTTTAGCCCCAGGGAAAAACCCCCGGTACCCATTGGACAGGAGGCTGGGTGGGCCCCAGAGCCTGTCTGGACGACATGGACAAGTGAAAATTCTTGCCTCCATTGGGACTCGAACTCCGACTCCTTGGTCGGATGCCAGTCGCTATACAGACTGCGCTATCCCGGCTCTTTGACCCAGGTATATGTGCGAGGATAATATTAAAACGGATTATAAGTATTATTGAGTGGTATGGACATGATTCATCTGGCTCAAGATAGAGGCCGCTGGAGGGGATTTTGCGAACATCGTAATGAGCCTTCGGGTTCTATAAAATGTTGGGAAATTCTTCAAGTAGCTTAGCGGCTAGCAACTTCTCAAATGACTCAACTCCGCTGAGTTCGCTAGTGAACGAGATATTCACAAGGAACTACAGAAGTTAAGTCAAAATCACGATAATTCCTTATTTTAAACTGAACAAGGATGGATCACTACTTCCCCCCCCCCATTTACTCAAAACAGTATTCAGCAGCACTGCAGCTTAGGTGTACATTTAACTGAATGTTTATACATATACACGTATAGCGAAGTTCTGACACTCTTTTAATCAACGAGTAACGTTAGGCATAAAGACCAGTCGGTTTTAAGGGACACAAATCGCGTTACCACCCCTCACCAAAAATTGTGGCCCCAGTCCATATACTGGAAACGTTCCGGAAGGCAGATGTTGGGAGACGGATATTGTGTGGCTTCCTTCCTGCGTTTGAAATTTAAGGGAGTCTATTTGTCACACCTGGCCAACAGACAAATGGTCAACTTTTACTTTACTTCACTTCAGAAGGAAAACAAGCAGGGGGAAGCAAATAAACTACAAATATGCAAACTTCGTTGCAAATACATCTTTAGGGTAGGCTTTAATTATTTCACAATCTAGTAGGAATATCTCTACAGTAATTAGACTTCGCGCCATTATGTCAATTGCAATGCAAGTGGTAAAAGAATTACACAGGCTCATTACACAATTAAACAAAATGTTGACACTTTTAAGAGAAACAAGAGAGATTTTGTTGCATATGCATCAACATGCCTTATATAAGTACATGTGTACTAAAATCCTGACGTGTCAGAAATCACATTACTAATGAACACATGAACCGCAGTTACTATGCACGCGTTTGTAAAAGAAATCAAGAAATGCACATATAGAAAGCACCTACAGCCTTTCCACACTTAAACTTCTCAGCAGTTAACTCATTACGCTTGCACTGTTCTCTGACACACAACTTCGTATCTCAACACGAGGCAACATACAGCCATGTGCGAATGCACATTCTTCAGATGTTTTGGTAATGTAGGAAGCCTCACTTTCACACTCTAAGATTTTCTCATTGTACTAATATAATGAAGTTCATGCTGTGCGCTTACCCGAGCTCCTACAATTTCCGATGTTCTTGCTACTAAATAATACTCCTCATCTAATATACAAACAACACCCTTAACTCACCTGCCACTTCAACGACTTTAACTGACTCAACCGACCGCAACTGACGTTGCAAACGATTATACATCACCTACCGTCAACCACATAAACGAATGAGCTGGACAGAACGAAGTTCAAGGATATCGATGCATATTCGCTCCGCATACTAGAGCCATCTGTATCAATATGGTGAACTATAAGTACTGTAATCACCGGCCAGTTCGGTATAGCAGCAGAACCGCTGTTTGAAACAAAAGTAGGTGCCTAGGGCACACATGCAATTTTTCAGTTGAACGATTGTTGGCCTGTTGTTGATAACTCCCGTGTACATGAGCCGTTATGGGCGCAATGGGACTGCGCACACATACATCTGTAAATCGTGCATGATTTGACCTTCAGTCAATAAGTTGTGTCTTTTCCTGCCTGTCTTCGCACTAGCTCTAGTTCCTCTAGTTGCAACATGTGGGATCAAAGCATCGAGAAGCTTATAAAAGTAGAAAAGTGGACAGCTCTTTATTTATCTATCTTGTATTCATGTACAAGATATGAGGTTACAGAAGAAGCAACAATTCATCAAAACTGTCAACACTCATTCTGCAATAATTAAAGAATTTTGATGGGTATTGTCACAGTTCATGGTACAATGTGTAAAATTTTCCTTTTAAGAGACATTCACTATAAATAGGGTGAACCCAATGTTTCTGCTTCCTTTTTTCCTGAATCTTAACAATAATGCATTTACTACTGTTGTATCGTACACATCCATGCTGCGACTGATCACTGGCATACTTGTGGACAACTCAAAACTGTATGTGTGCACACGTCCCTCAACAGTCGTTGGGCCTCCATGATCATGCACAACTATTGGCCAACTAACGTTCAACTGAAAATAGCATATTTTCTCACAGTCACTGCTGAAAACTATATAACATTAAATGCAATTTCAATTCATACTACTTTCTGGTATTTGGTTATTTCTTCCCATCATTTATCAAATAAGCAGATAAAGGAAAAGTTGTTTATTAAAGAAGGATTTGTAATTTCTACAGACATTGGAAGTGAGTGTGTCAGCTTCATGCTTCAATCTCTTTACCCCCAGTACACATATCACAGGAGGCTGGGTTAGTCCCAGAGTAGGTCTGAAAATGATGGTGCACAAACCCTACCACTGCACTTGTTACTTGCTAATAAACCAAAACTGTTCACTGATTTCAAGGCCATATACAACCTTTATGGACTCTTTTTAACGACCACTTGCTTGAACACAATGTGAAAACAAGATTGGAAATAGTATACTCCAAATGCAATATACAAAATTAGCAATGAATTTCTTTGAGGTTTATTAAGCTCATTTAGAAACAGGAATAACACATGCAAATTAGCAAGAATTTCCTGCATCAGAAGATATTGACAAAATCGTGGAAGGGTTTATAGAATAAATGGAAAAATCCATTATGGCTTTATTATGTCATCAATATAGCTGAAAATTAGAAGTGCCTGAGAACTTACTTTGATTGCTCCCATATCAAATTTTAATAAAACTTGTTAAACAGTTTAGGTCCTGATATTAGGTCACAGAAAGACAAATAGAAACAGATATGAATTCCACATAAGCCATAATTTTTACTTAATAAAAAATGCTTAAAACATAATATTACACAGGCCAACAGCTGTTTTGGTGCCGGGGTATTTGGAGCTGATTTCATATGAATTTGATGCCCTGAATTCAAATATGGCATTAGTTTTTGCCTAGGAGCTCAAATTTTTAAGATATAACATTTTGGTGAAATATACGTTACACTATTTTAAGTTAAATCAGTGGATCAAATAAAAAAACTCAACATGGAATTTTTATTACTATATTATAATTATATTTTTAT